TCACCGGAGCAATCTCATCTCTCAACCTCAACCAGTCTCGAATAGACGGTCGATGTACATTGAAGATGCCAACGATAGTGACAGCAGTCTGCCACCCCCCTCTATGTTGTCGGGCAACTGGCGAGCCGACTCTCCAGCCTCTGCATCTGAACACGGTCGTACCGCACAATCACGGGACCGAAAGAGACGAAGCATGCATCTGCATGGCCTTAATTCGGCCTCACCCCATCGCCAGCAGTCACCAGCAAGATACCCGCACCCCCCGCCGTCGCCACTGAGAATGACCAAATCCAGAATCCCCAGTGGAGAAATAGCCCAGTCGCCTGTCGTGTCGCCGTTATTGACAGCCGGTGAATTTGTACCTCCGGGCAATGCTCCGACCCTGCATAGGAGGCAGTCGTCGATGCATTCGTCTGACCTGAAGACCCCGTCTTCCCCTAGGTTGAACTCTATTTCTCATCCACAACAGCGGGCACAGGCTCCTTCGATAAAGGACTTTGAGATTATCAAGCCGATCAGCAGAGGCGCCTTTGGGAGCGTGTATCTGGCAAAAAAGAAAATCACTGGCGAATACTTTGCGATCAAAGTTCTCCGCAAATCTGACATGATTGCAAAGAATCAAGTCACGAATGTCAAGGCTGAACGCGCCATCATGATGTGGCAGGGGGAGAGTGATTTTGTTGCCAAGTTGTACTGGACGTTCTCCAGCAAGGATTATCTTTACCTCGTCATGGAATATCTGAATGGAGGTGATTGCGCGTCCCTTGTGAAAATCCTCGGAGGATTGAGTGAAGATTGGGCCAAAAAGTACATCGCCGAAGTCGTTCTGGGTGTGGAACATTTGCACTCTCGAGGGATTGTCCACCGCGACTTGAAGCCGGATAATCTTCTGATCGATTCCAAAGGCCACCTGAAGCTTACCGACTTCGGTCTGTCTCGTATGGGCCTTGTTGGTCGCCAGAAACGCGCACTCAAGCAGCCTGATGAGGCTGTGCCCGACCTTTTGAAGCAAGGCCCTTTCACCCAAAACGGTTCGGGGTCAAATCCGGCCTCAAGATCAACCTCTTTCGACTACCAGGGCCCTCACTCGCCAGCACCAACACCTCTCATGACTCCTGCTTTCACTGGGGGTCTTGATCAACCTTCCTACTTTAGTCTGAACCGGGAAAGCTCTTTAAGCCGAGAAACATCACTAAGGAACTCCGGCTATCGAAGTGATAGCGGCAGCGGCTCAAGCTTCGATCTCCATCAACTCTTCAAAAAGCTCGGAGTGCAAGAAGACACCGACTCACCCCCTCAGAGCTTTCCGCGCAAGATTGAGGAAGAGGCATACAGTCAGGGTAGTGCATCACCCGATCTGTTCCCTCTATCACAGTCGATGAGTAACGTCTCTCAAGCGGCACCCGTTCCTGTAGCTTCTCAGATGTTAGCTCCCCCACTATTTGAGCCTGAAGAGAGCGATCGCCGTTTTGTGGGTACTCCAGATTACCTAGCACCCGAAACTATTAACGGCACCGTGCAAGATGAAATGTGTGACTGGTGGTCTTTGGGTTGTATCATGTTCGAATTCCTTTATGGATTCCCACCTTTTAACGCAGATACGCCAGAGAAGGTGTTTGACAATATTTTAAACCGGAGAATTGCCTGGCCTGAGGATGACGAGATTGAAGTCAGCCAGGAGGCGAGAGACCTCATTGACAAGCTCATCCAGCTAGATCCGAGAGAAAGGCTGGGTGCAAACAAGGACGAGAAGTACCCGAGTGGTGGCGCTGAGATTCAAGCTCATCCCTGGTTTGCTGACATTCACTGGGATACACTCTTGGAAGATGAAGCTCAATTCATTCCGAACCCCGAACACCCAGAAGACACCGAGTACTTTGACTCGCGCGGAGCCACCTTGTCATCCTTCCCCGAAGAACTGGAAGACCAAATCTCGCCATCAGGCACAACCCCAAATGGTTCCGATTATCCCAATCGTCCTCACGATGCACTTTTTCGAGCCAGAACGCAAGCAACTTCTGCTAAGCGTGGCCTCATGCCTCTCCACATTCCTCCCCATGTGGTACGCGATTCCCGCAGCCGGAGACTCAGCGAACCCGTCATCGCTGATGATTTTGGGAATTTCACTTTCAAGAACTTACCCGTACTGGAGAAGGCCAACAAAGACATAGTCGAGAGAATGAGGAAAGAAGCGATGCAAGCTCAAGCTAGAGGCTATGCTCATTCGCAAGCTATGTCCGCCGCCAACAGTCCAGCACTGGGGTCTCCCGGACCTTCACTTGAAGGCAGCCCTATGATGCCGATGCCTGTAAAGCGGGCGCTATCTATCAGCAAGGGCCACAGACCAGGTTCTCCGTCGAGTCTAGCTACGTCCAACTCATCACCTAGTAGGCCTTCACAACCTTCTTCGCCCCTTTTAGTTCAATTCTCTACTGCGCAGCATCATGATAGACGAAAGACTTCTGGGTCTTCCCAAGGAAGTAGTTCTCTTGCTCCGAGCAGCTTCTTCGATATCCCCCACGACGCTATCAAACATGGACAAACAGCCACGTCATCTCCCATCAAACCTGCTCGGATGCCATCAGTTTCACCCGCAAAAGCAATGCCTCCACCACGGGCTTCGACAGTCAATGGGCGTACCAGATCGCAGACTGTCGGTTCGCAAGAAAGCGATGGGCAAGCTACCCAGCGGGAAAGTTTCGTACCTGGCCATCATAAGCGCAAGAGCCAACTTCTTGTCCGAGACGTCTCGCCGTCTTCTTCAGACAATGAGTCGGCGCAAGCGAAAGCGCTGCTCAAGGTACAACGTCGGCGGCAGAGCTCGAGAAGACTTTCGCAGATCAACTTTCTTGAGGGCCCCACATATCGGCCTCTGGATGTCTTGATCTGCGAGGATCACCCAGTGTCCAGGATGGTGATGGAGAGGCTCTTTGAGAAATTGCGGTGTCGAACAATTACCGCGACCAATGGTCCCGATGCTCTACGACTTGCTATCAGCCAGATCCAGTTTGACATTGTCTTTATGGAATTCAAGCTTCCTCTAATCAGCGGAGTAGACGTTGCCCGCATGATTCGAGACACAAAGAGCGCGAATACCAGTACTCCCATCGTCTGCATCACCGGATATCTGAAAGATCTCCCCGAACTACATCACTTCGATACCCTTATGCAGAAGCCGCCGACTACCCAGAAGTTGATTGAGATGCTGGCCAAGTACTGTTCGTGGAAGCCGGCACCGAAAGACTTCCGACCCGCTGTTCCTTTGACCATCCCACATCTCAACACGCGATTCGAACCTATTCCCACACAAGATAGTCCCAGTTCCGTGGCTTCGAGTTTGGCCCCTACTATACCCGACTCATCATATCGAGGATCAGCTCGGGAGGATTCGATTGGCAGCGGTGGATTTTTTAGTGATTTGGAATCCTTCAAGAGTGATGATATCCCCGTCATCGTGTCTCGCGCTGCCACAGACGAGTGGGCAAAGGCGGGATTAGGGATCTCCGACGATATCGTCCTGGGACAGCGACCTTATATCCAGACAGGTTACCCTCATCTTGTTCACACCGAGTCTGCACCCCCAAGCGCTTGCGTCGATGACACTAGTGGATACGGCCTTCGAACCCCGCGGCGGCAAAAGTCGTCGGAAGCTGTCAGATTGAAGCGAGAGCTCCTTGAGAAGAACATGAACCATGCCAGCGGAGCCGCTGAAGAAGGCGATGACGAAGACGAGGAACTGGGCGACGTACAAGTGCGAGCGCGGTCACCCATCGGCAAACCTGCGCGGCCATCGTCTAAACTTGGAATTGAAATGATGCGCACCAACAGCCGTGGAAGTGTCATCTCCATGGGTGAAGACAAACAAACAGAGGCAGACAGCCTTAGGAAGTCTCTGGAAGTCCTGGAAGTGCGCATGGAGAATCTCAAGATCCCCGAGGAGCCCAGTACAACTCCGTTGGCCGAGATCCAACCACGGAAGAAGCCTGAGAGAACTGTCTCCCAGCATTCACATCCTCAGCAAGAGACTGTCCGTTCTCCCAGTGGCCAAATTACACCCCCAGTCATATTCCCCCCAAAACCCGGGACAGCCTTTGCGGATATTGAGATGGACATGACTCCAGTGCCAACCAAGATGATCAACCTGGAAGAGGAGCCTACTCCGAAGCCCCACGGCAGTCCTTCGGGACCAGAAACTATACAATCTCGTCGCTAGCTTTTTTTCTACTCTTTCTCATGTGTATATGCGATTATGACTGACTTATGGAAATTTGCTCGAACGATTGGAGCCGTGTCTTTTTTTTTCTCTTTTGTACACAATGACCTGTTGCAAGGCGCTGGAGGAGAGGGAAGTGCGGCATCGTTGGCGTTCGAATGAAGGTGGGAAAAATGCACCCATAGCATACGTTTTATTTTATTCTCTGGTGTCCAAGTCTCGGTGCATGGTACAACACGGCTTAAATAGTTCAACCCTCAATAAATCACCATTTCCCGACAACGATGTTCATAAAGCGACTCTGCCTTTTCTCGCACCCTCTGTATCCACCGTGACATTGTGAGACTGAGTGTCGAGCGGCCGCTCTTACCAACTTGCACGGTCTCGGTGATGGTGACAGTTGGCAGCGTAAGGCACTGGTTGGCAGGTGATGGAAATGGCGTGAGCTGGTGTTTGATTATTGGATCGGTGTTGGGTGTGTCGTCATGGTCCTGAATCCTGCCTATTGTCACAGCAACCGGTGGGCAATTGTTGCCCGACTTCCAGGAAGCGATTAGCGTAGAGCAACCCGAGTTGCCGTTCCTTTTTGTCTGCGTCCCCGCGTCCTCTACTAGTATCTCTTTGCTCTTCCTTTCCTCGTATTTATTACCATGGCGCTTATGTGGGTATCTCCCTCAACACAATCATAATGCTATTCTAACAAGCGTTCTATAGTTTTAGGCGCGGCCAAGGTTCCCCCCCGCCCTTCTCTCCCCCCTCACCACGAGGTACGGCCTGGACCACCCCCATGAAGTGGGTGGTCGTAACGGCCGTTGTGTCGTTACTGGTGAGCGCCCTGGCAGCTCTGGTTGCCAGAAAGTCGTTCCGGATGTAGGTTGTCCGGACGTTGAAAGAGCTGCTGGGGCGGCCTCAGAGTCGCCAAAGCAGCCAAGCTGGTGAGGGAGCCCTCCCACTGGTTGGGTTGGATTCGGTGGGTGCCCGGGAAGAAGCCGGCGAAGCTGCTGCGGCCTCTGTGGTAGGGGAGAGACGGGAAGAAGAAGAAGAAGAAGAGGAGGAGGAGGAGGAGGAGGAGGAGGAGGAAGTGCCGGTGGTAAGTTCACCGAAGTATCTCAACGTCGAAGGTGTTGTGAATGCTAAGCGCTTGTCACTATCACAGCCCGCCCCCAAATGAGGGCATCACGTTTTTTTTTTATTTTTGTTTTGGAGTTTGGAGTCTGGAGTCTGGAGTCTGGGCGTCAGGCGTTTTGGGGCCTTTGTGCGGGAGGCTGGCGGGCCAAAAGAGAGAAAAAAGAAAAAAAGAAACGCTGAGCAAAAAGTCTCTGCCTCCTCGTGGCGCTCGGTGGAAACCTGGGGAAGAGCCCACCAACTCACCCCAGGGCTAAAGAGATCTGGTTCCCTCCATGTGGGAAAGAAAATATGACTTGGAAGACCTCTACAAGGACATTCGTCGGCAAACAAGATCAACCCTTTCCGGCCACTCTGCAGACCGCTGCTCTCGTTCCAATAGAGCATGCAGAACTCAAGCTATGTCCAGCCCGGGATCATTCAGGACCTCAAGGTTCTTAACACCTCCAACCACCGGATCTCTCTCAGATCACCTCAACCGTATCCCAGACCCGGGTCTAAAGTTGCTCTATGGACCGCCATCCCCAAACCAAACTCGTCCTGTATCCAGATGTCTCACTTTGCGCAGCGGTTGTGTAGCTGAGCCTGAGGACCTGACAAAGGTAAACCAGAGACCCACTGCCACAGGGCGTTATAAGACCCCTCAGACCACCACTTCCTTGTCGTGTACAAGACGCCCCTCATTCGTCTTCAGAGCCCCGAACTAAGAGCACAGACCGTCCGCCTGAGCCAACATTTCTTTCGACATCCTCCTGGCAACGCTTCCATACAAAACTAGCACCACAATGGCGAACCGTACCACCTTCATCATCTTGGCAATGCTCCTTGTCATCCTCCATCAAGTCTCGGCCAAAGAGGTGTCGGACGTGCCAGAGCTGTGCACACCACTTGGCCACCCGGACATGGATTGTGAACACGGCATTGTCTGCGAGAAGGACTGGCCTTCGGAGACGGGAAATTACGGGCTGAGACCTCACACTATCAAGATTGAGCCTTTGCGGAGAGTCTTGTTTCACCCAAGAGTGGTCAATTCCACAGCGACCAAAACCGAAACCCATCAACGCCGTTGGAGCAGACCATCTGTCGTGCCGAATTCCGGATTTGGGTTTCCAGAGCAGTGTTGCCGACCAACCATAGAATGTTACAACTTCATGACTACGCTCGAAGACTACGACGGCTTGGATTGGAATGGCCGTCTCTTGATAAAGGATTTAGAGACGTGGAAGAAAGCGGAATGCTGCATGGCTGACTTTGTGACACCCAAGTCGTGGTGTCTGTTTCCTCCAGCACGAAATCGCTGGTACGACTTTGGTGAAGGACCACCGGCTTGTTCGAGATTCCATGGAAACTATTGGATCAATTCTCCCTTTAGGTAGCTTTGAAAAAATATTAAAACAGAATCCAGCTTCTTCTGCTCTTGTACTCGGATGCATTTCTCGCCTCCTGCCCGTCGGTCCACCGTGCTGTCGAGAACCTATTTGTGATTGATTTGGTCCTTCCACCAAAGTGACTCACGCATCAGTCTGGCCTCGCCTACACCTATTCCCCCCCCGGTGTCCTTGAGCAGGAATCACTCCATGTGCAGGTCCGGTCATGCGCGTGTCAAGAAATCCTCTCATTCTGACTTCGTCGTCTTCTGCTATTAAGCCTGGCCATGAGACCACAAGCGTCTGGATCATCCGTGAAGGATGGCTCCGACGGCGGAAAAGACGACCGAAAAAAACAACAAAGACGATTTCCCAGTGTTTTTCGAATTGGCCCGTCTTGCCACAATCAACAAGCCAACTTTCAAGACGAAAGTGAGAACCTGGACCCAGGTGGCCAGTTCAAAGAAAAGGATCTTTCAGGCCCGACGGTAGACCCATACCGTGAAAAATGGAAACCCCACATATCAAATTGGACTCCATGCTTGCCACATCAGGCGCAACTCATCCGGTGGTTCATCTACTTGAGTTTCACTTGAAGTTTGGCTAGAAAATGGGCTTGGAGCCCTAGGCTTTTACCAAGCCCACCAGCCTTGCGGTTTTTCCAAGTGGAGAAATCGGGATAGTGCCGAGGCGCGCTAAAACGGCACACTGCTCCGTTTCAAGTTAATTAGAACGAGTCGCAAAACATACCTCGTAGGTCGCTACAACGGCTTCAATTCGTCTTTGTTTCGCACCACGTTCCATATCTTCTAGTTCGTGTGCAATGATGGCAATCATGCGAATCCCAAGTGCGACATGGCTGAGGGTGGTTCGTACACAGTGTCCGGAGATCGAGCACGATGGATCTACCAGGAGAGCCTCAAATGGAAAAGGGCCAATCCAAAGAGCTCTCCTCCAGTGTTCCTACCCCGTCGCTTGAGTATTCATTCTGACAAGGACCAACCGATAATGTATACAAGTGAGGAGAAAGCCCGTCGAGCCCGGCAGAGGTGCCAAGCTTATTACTATGCCGCACAAGATCCCGAGTACCATGTCTCTCTGTTAGATAGGGCTGTGGGATCATTGCTGCGTTGCAACTTCGATGGAAGCCTCGATGAAGATGCTGTCGTTACGGAAACATGCACCCTGTTATTCCGCCCGTCGCGAACCCCACAACTTCCCGCCTCTCTCTTCGCAAAGGTCAATACGCACGCACTACCTTGGCTCTATTTTGGGGGCGCTCAATCTGGCTGTGTAAGGCTCACCAGGACAACTGGCGGGAGCTGCTTGTAACCAACTGGATTGATACGAACTGTATCCGGTTGGCGTTAACGATTGTCCAGCTCCGCCATGAGTTGACGTTTGTTGGCACGATGCAGAACTATGTGAACACCATTGCACAGTTGCTTGAAACAGTTTTTGACCTCTCGGCCCGCACAGACGATACTGCCGCTGAAAGACACTGGCTGGTTGCTCGGAGCTTTCTCTGGACATGTTGGAGCCGTACTGTGATGCTTCATTTCCACTATCACCTGGATTTGCAACTGCGAGGCGGATACGATGCCGAACGAAACGAATTCCTGAACATGCACCAACCACTACCAGCCTATGGGACAACTCCGGATGCCTCGGAGAACTTGCCAGAGTATATGTGCAGCTGGGCCTTTGGTCTCTTGAAATTGGATAGAGCTTCCATAGGACAAGATTTCTGCGACTTTCGAAGCCGATTTTGTTCCATGTTTGGCGACAAGCCAGGGGGCGTGTGTATTATTACGTCTTCTCGAGCCTATAACTGACAAGGTCCCGAACACTGCCAACGTTTCACAGGCATGAAGATAATCGACCAATCGGCGCACGATTTTCAGTGTAACGGTGATTATGAAATGATGGTCTGGGACGAAGTCAGCTATAGAAACATTGAAGGCGCAAGAGCCATTTCCATCATGCATTCTCACAGAGCCACCATTCGATATTGTCAAGTGTCTCCTAAAACACTAAGAGTCTCACATGTGCGGGCTCACGGTGCTGGAGGCAGACCCCATACAGGAATGAATGCCTGCCTGTTTGCACGACTCGTTCAGCTCGCTCGCGTGAATGAGCGTGACTCGTACTGGATGGGTACACCTTGTATTCCAGAGAGTCATGAACTTCGTTCCGAGGCGGTGGTCAATATAAACGGAATCTTCACCGTGAGCAGGATGACACTTATCTGGGGTCGCGACATTATGTCCATCGATATTAGCGACGGCTCAATAGAGAAGATGGAAACCCTTCTCTCCGTCCTCCTCGTTTGCGACCGGAACATCAGGTCTTGGACATTGCTCGAGTCCATGAGAGCGCGTCACAACGTTCATCTTCTCTGCAAAGACAACAAAATCGTCTCACTCAAGGAATGCCTCACAAGAGTTCACGAAAAGGGAGTGATTGCTATCGCGAACCTATTCCTCACACATCAGCAGCTCCTTCCGGCTCAAGCTCCATCACCTTTCGATAAAAATCCTAGAGGCGAGATTGTCAGACGTCGAGATGGTTATATCTCTGTGGAAGAGTCCATTTGTTTGCTGGCTTATCGACATGCGTCGCGCCTGAGCGATAGCATTGCTATCATGAGCTTGTTACACGATACCACACCGGCCTACACTGCGGAGATGTTCTGGAAATCGAAAGTTAATAGTATGGTCCATATGGGAATCCTGTTCTCTGCTCATCCAAGGCTTCGGCGCAAGGGCTTCGGTTGGGCTTCAGCTCAACCAGAGGTGTCTCGCCTTGCTATAACCCCGAGCTCACAATCGCCGATACTGCATCTGGCATACGACGGCTCCGGAACTCCTGTTGCACTGATCACAAGAGATGGTCTGGATGCGGAGTTCACAACGTTCGAAGTCTTCACAACCTCACCACATAGGCTCCCAACTCTGAAAAACTTAAAGGATCTTTTCGTCCGTAACGAGCACAATTGCTTTGCTTGTCCCTCACATCGAGCTCAAGAGGGCTTCCAGCTACATAAACATCGTCGTGCGCTATTTGTGCTCCCTTCCAAACCCGCCGTCACCAGTGCAATGTATCACGTTTACCGTGGACCCCGTAACGGCGCATTTTCTGGGGTAATCGGCTCGGATGACAAGGCTCGGAACATCTAGCACTAGCTAGGAGTGTTTGAGTGGGATGCTATAGCCCCCTGGCCTAAAATGAGACGTGAAGTTGAGAAGATTTTCCTGGTATGAGGATACCCGTGGCTGCCAAAACACGGAAGGGTAGACTAATTTGTGTCTACTTCTACATTGGAGGAAGTGATGCGAGAAGGGAATTCGAGGATGCTGGCCGGTCGCCTGTCTCTTAGGCCTCCTAGATCTCGATCAAGGGCCGCTGCAGTATCATTTCGCTCCCAATTGGACGAACGGTATGAAATGTTCTGAAGCATCTCCAGCAAGGTTTTTCAGACAAAGACCCGGCGCTCCAACATGGCGATCCTTGCGCCGAAATCTTCAAAAGCAAGCATGACGAGTGGAGAAGGTATGGTACGCTTTATGCAGCTGACTGAGCTGGTAATAGACAAGGTCCAGGGGTTTCACTGAGAGTATGCTAACTTTGACATGGTTCTTTAGGCAGGACTGTTATAAGTTCTCCACCTGGCCGAATCCACCGTGTCCGAAAACTAGCTGGTCCCATTGAACCCATTCATTGGGGTCAGTTTCAAAAGAAACGAGGTCGGGAAAGTTATAGCAATCGAGATCTCCAAGCTCGGGCAGATTTCCAGGTTGACCCTCCACCTGGATTCTTCCGGAGCTGGTCGAGCCTTGATCAAAGGGCACAGGTTTTGGCCTAGATGTCCAACTGTGGCGGATCGCCTTGATGTACCCAGGCGCCACTGGTTCCGGCAGACCCTCGGACTTCGCGGCGGCGACGTAGTCGTCCCAAACCTCCAGAGTCCATTTCCTCAGTGCAACATACACAGCTCCTGTGGACTCTTTGAAAGCTTCGGGGTACTGCGAAAGTACCACGCCAATCAGCTGCCATAACCGGTCTACCTCTGGCCCTACCTTGCGGTGTCGAGCCTCAATGAGGACACAGAGCATCGTATCCCAAAGATAGCTCGTGCCGATTCGCCATGTGTACTTCTGCAGCCCCTGATTGCCTCTCACTAAAACTGCATATTCCAACAATTTTGTTGCATTGGCGAAGACAATTTCACGTTCGGTCTGCGTGATTTTGGCACCACGTCCAGCAAATCGCCGTGGACTGTGAGCAAGGAGCCTCATCTTGCATATACAGGATCTGATCATGATAGATGCGAACGTATGAAGTGGATTTGACGGATCGCAGTATCGGAGATATTTTCTCTCCCAAAGATCTTCCATCTGGCCTATCATCTCATCTTTCTTGGCAGTCGTGATACCCGGACTCGAGAAGACGTCCCAGTGAGCATCATTGGACAATGGCAAGGCAAGCTTGCGTAGGCACCCTATGATCTCGCATCTGACAAGGCAGAGAACGATTGAAGTAATCCCACTTCGCTCGGGCGGCGGGTCAACCATGTCGGGACTGAGGTCTTCATCCTCGACATTCAAAGGCATCTTGGTGTCTCCAATGGACAGATCCAGGGAGGGTCTCACACCCAGCATGTCGGCAGCGCGAAAATCGACGTGCACGATGTGCCACCAGAGTCGACGCCTCATTTCCGTCTCGAAAGGGGTCAGTCTAAGGAATTCACCATCGCGATGGAGACCCATTTTGAGCGCCAGTCGCACCGCAACTCCTGACAAAATATACTGAGTGTCGTGACGATGAGAGGTTCTCACGCCGATCTATGGATATGAGGTCAAAAAAGGTCAAGATACTCCTGGGTTGCAACTTACAAGAAATAATGAAAAGGCTTGAAGTGTCGTGGGATTCGAAGTGTGAAGGAATCCAGCATTTACCAAAGCCTGACGCGCTATGGTTCGATATCGCGCAAGCATGACCGCCCTAGGTCCTTCCAACAGACTCTGGCATTCATCGTCGTCCAAAGCGCTGACTGTGGCAAGGCAAAAGCCAAACATGGCCGCCTTGAGGCTGTTTGGAATCTCTTGTGGACGTGGCAGTGCACTCGTCAACGAGGCCCAGAAGGTTGGAATGTGCAGGATTTTCATCACAGGATCAATCCGGTCCACATATATTTCTTTCATCTTTAGCAGGACCTGGATAGAGGGGCAATGATCGACCAGATTTGAGCTGTTGGAGGCGCTGGGATAAGAGCATGCTTGGTCGAGCGGACTTAGAAAGAGCTCGCATTCATGGACACCGGCCTCGTCCATTAGCCCGACAGGGGCATATTCGTCTGGATGGCGAAACTAAGGCGCTTTGGTCAGGCAGAAAGTTGCTTCACTTAGTCGCGGATCTCACCTTGTCTCCTAAGTTGGACCACAGAGCGCTATCGGGGCACTTAGAGACGGGCCAGCAGAAAAGGGGAAGACACGATCATACCTGTCGAAATATCTCGAGGTGCCTTCCGTGGTGACAAGCTTGGATCTGGTTACATCAAGCCGGACAGCCTCGCATTTGCTCTCGATCTGAGACTCGTCATCTTTCGATACACCAACCTCTGACCTGGAAGCTGATTGTACATCTGAGGTGTCACTGTCCAGGGATGGTTCAACCTTTGCGCCATACGACATCAGCATCTCTTCATACCGCCTCAATTTGGCATGCAGCCCTTCTCGAGCAGGCTTCGTTCTCTTTCGCTTGCCGCGGACTGGGGGAATGAAGCTGCACTGTGTATCCCCCTTGACGCAGTTGGCGCACGGAGTCTGCCGATCGCACTTGATTTTGCGCTGTCGACAAGCCAGGCAAGAGTAGCCTTTGCGGTTTTCATCTGCTCCCGCTGCGTCCTCCGTTGGGGTCCGAGGCATGACTGATACTGGCCCTCTCCAGCGAAATATACCCGGTTGTCGGAAGAAGATTGTTGCAAGATGCCGTCTTGGATGCGGCACTTCCTTTGGACTTGTTCGATGTTGATCTCGGGGCTCGGAAGTCGAAAACTGAACCTTTGAGCCCCGAGAAGCGACCCGAATAGAAGAAGACGAGAAACCGACACAGCAGGCGTCCAGCAACAATCCAGGTATTTAAGTGTTAGGTATCCGGGTCTGCAGAGATGAGCAATGTGAGTTGTCTCATGGCGCCCATCAATTCTCGTTTTACCAAAGTCAATCAATCGTTTCACCATGTCCCAATCCTCCTCACGTGACGACGAGCAGCATTCAATGGATCACGGACAGCAAAAGGGTGGTGGTGGAGGAGCTGCCGATGGATATCCAAGCATGCAGAAACGGGTTCTCATCATGATGGCAGTCTATCTCTCGGTCTTTTTGGTGACTTTGGTATTCCAAGCTTCTCTCCAGCCCACACTCTATCAGGTTGGCCGTTGCCTTCGCTAACCCCGGTATTCACCTGCAGGACCAAAACATTATATCGACTGCGATTCCGCGAATCACTGACGAATTCCACTCTATTCAAGACATCGGATGGTATGGCAGCGCCTACCTGTTGACCATGTGTAGCTTCCAGCTTCTCATGGGCAAGGTCTACAAATTCTACCCAGTGAAACCAATCTTCCTTACTGGCATTGGGCTCTTCGAAGGGGGCTCAGCAGTATGTGGTTCAGCGCCGACCTCTGCAGCTTTCATCGTTGGTCGCGCTGTTGCAGGTCTGGGGGCTTCAGGCATGTTTTCGGGCATGATGGTGATCATGTTCCACACCGTTCCACTACAGCAACGACCGATTTGGCAGGGCGCCTTTGGTGCCGTCTTTGCGGTTGCTTCTGTCATCGGCCCTCTGATCGGAGGTGCACTTACCGACAACGTCATCTGGAGGTGGTGCTTTTACATCAACCTCCCCATCGGAGCAGTAGTTATCATCGTCACCATCTTCGTCTTGCACCTACCCAGCCAGAAGCTCGATGCACGAGCCCCCGGTCTCGTCGGGAAACTGAAGCAGCTCGACCCGGTGGGCAACCTCGTGTTTTTCCCTGGCATTTTCTGTCTGATTTTGGCTCTCCAATGGGGTGGGACCGAATATTCCTGGAAGGACGCTCGAATCATCGTTCTTCTTGTGCTTTGCGCCATTCTCTGCCTCGCCTTTGCCGGAATTCAGATCTGGAAGCGAGAGGACGGCACGGTCCCTCTGCGCATCGTCCAGCAGCGGAGTGTGGCGGCGGCCATCTGGTTCTCCTTCTTCACCGGCGCCGCAATGATGGCCATCATATACTATCTCCCCATCTGGTTCCAGGCTATCAAAGGCGTCGATGCCATCAGATCGGGAATCATGTTGCTCCCTTTGGTTCTTTCCACGGTTTTTGCTTCCATGTCCTCGGGCATCATCATAAGTCGCGTCGGCTACTATACGCCGTTCTTCATCCTCAGCTCCGTCGTCGCGTCCATTGGGGCCGGCCTGCTTTCCACCTTTACTTCAACTACCGAACACCCCAAGTGGATCGGCTACCAGGTGCTGTTCGGTCTTGGTCTCGGTTTTGGCGCACAACAGGGTCTGAACGTCGTGCAGACGATCCTAGAAAGGTCCGACATAGCCACTGGATCCGCCCTCATCATGTTCGCACGCTTCCTTGGCTCCGCTATCTTCGTGCCGGTTGCCGAGAACATCTTCCTCAACGGCCTGGTCTCCAAGCTGACAAACCTCCCAGGCATCAGCCCAAGCGCCGTGACCCAGGGCGGGGCCACTGATCTGAGAAACCTGGCCTCTGGGGACGACTTGAAGACTCTTCTCGCGGACTACAACCACGCGATTGTCCACGTGTTCTACCTCATCGCAGCAACCTGCGCCGTGACCATCTTCGGCAGTGTCTTTGTTGAGTGGCGAAGCTTGAAGGCTCGGGCTAGCGAGCAGGCCAGCGAGAAGGCCGAAGAATCCAAAGAAGCAACAGAGAGCAAGGACGTGCAAGATCTTTGAAAAAAAAAAAGACCGTTGATTTGGGTGTGCATATTTGGATTCTGAAAACTTTTGTATTATAGCTATGGCATTCTAGAGGAGATAGTGCACAGTTCACAGCGCTCTTTGTAATTTCTGATACAGAAAACCCCCCTTCCATCCAACGTCATTTGCAGGATGATGGCTCAGCAAGATCGAAAACTGTCTGGGGTCGTTATGTATGGCAAATGAATTCAACTAGGACTAATAGTAAATGGCACAACGAAAAAAGGTGATGACCGATCAAACGAGCGGCGGGGACAACCTCTATCTACGCAAACATCGGTGCTCTATCTAACAATGCCAATGCGGTTCTACCGATGCTGGTTGCTCGGATTAAGATAGTTGACGGGTTTCGACTCGCTGGCGATGCGGTTTCGGTCTGTGAAGTTTCCCTCCTACCCATTTCCTCTCCACGCACAAACGACGGCCATCAAATCTCGACCGACTTCTCGGTCCGCTGCTCCCGTCGCCGTGGGATCGCCATGACCTGATGGAGTTTGACCTCGGCGGGTTCAAACTGCGCAGCTGTCAGTGTCGATGAAGTAGGCCCGTCCAGCTGGGTCATGACGACGATATGGAGTGAACAGAGTGATGAAGGAGCAGGGACGATAAGTCAACTCACCTTGTAGATCCTCAACAGCGTGGCCCATATCTTGTACAGTTCCAGCTGCACGATGTTCTTCCCAATGCAGCTCCGACTGCCATGGCCAAAGACGAGCATGGACCTCTGCATCCGAAGCCGACGTTCGCGAAACTCGTCCTCGCTCTCCCCCTTCTGCTGCATCCAGCGCTCCGGATTGAATACTCGGGCGTCCTTGCCGAATATGTGCGGTAGCATGGCCATTGATGCGGCGTTCATCGCAATCACCGTCCCGGGAGGCAGGTGCGTGCCGTTGGGCAAAGTGAGGCCACTTTTGCCCGCCACGCGCTCGAGGTTGTTGGCAGGGGCCCCGAACTGTCGGTAGGATTCTTGGATCACGGCGTCCAGGTAAGGCATTTTCAGGGCCAGTTCGAGTGCCGCGGGGCCCTCGGTGTCGACCTCTTTCATCGCGGCCATGTTGACGCTCCGGATTTCGTTGTTAAGCCGCTCCTGGGCTTCCGGGTGCTCGGTCAGCCAGTGAATGGTTGCATCCATGGCGCGAGCGCTGTTATTGGCACCGGCCAGAACATTGGTTGCTGTAAGATGGGTGATCCGAAGGTCCGTCATCAACGGGTATGCTTTCCTGGCTGCGATGAAGCTGCCCAACAGGTCTTCGTGACGTCGAGATTGGGATTGTGCCTCCGGATCCTTAGAGGCCTTGGCCAGGCGCTCAGAGACGACGCGCCTAGCGAAAGTGAAGAACATACTCGGTTTCTTCGTAAACCATTTCAAGAGTGGGTTGCGCTTGGTCAGGGTATCGAGGAGGGGGAAGTTGTTGGCGACGCTAATGTATCTGAAGTTTTCTCTTTGAGCCTGGATCATGCCGTTAAAGTCATAGCCGTGGTCAAGGAAGCCAAGCGGTTCGCCGAATGAGATCTTTGACATTACGTCGAAGGCCCCTTGAGCTAGAGTAAGATGCTGCACACCACACGCCAAGTTGGGTAGAATGTTGAACTCACAGTATTGAAGCCAACGGGTCATGTTGATCGGGGTACCGTCAGCATCATGTTTATCAAGTTCTTTGATCAACTTCTCGATTGTTTCATCGATGTATGGTTCATAGCCTTTTAGAGACGACAATGAATAAGCATGAGCGATAGGGCGTCTGTAGGCTCCGTGAGTTTTCTCGTCCTTGATGCTGACCAGGGCCGTCTGATCAGTGCCTGTGAATGGTGAGCTTGCCACTCTTGAGAGTTCTGATTGTGGAACGGGTTCATTTACCGGTCATCACGAATACTTGATAGCCTGGGCCCTGTTCAGATTGGTTTCGGGTTAGCTCTGAGGAGGGGCATCAACTCACAAAAGAAAAACATATCATTTCTCGAGGAAATTGTTCAACAGGACCATACTTGCCTTGTCCAGGCGTTCTCGGAAGCCGTATATCGTGTCGATAGCCTCGGGGTCATAGACGAGGACATGTTTGGGGCCAATTCTGACCACATCGCCATAACGGCCGATCATGTTGATCTGGTAGTTGTTGACGCCTTCGTTGTGGTGGTTGAGTCTCCATGCTTGGTAACCACGCCATAGATTGGTGTATTTGGCCAGCCAGGGCCCGGGAATGTGACCAAGCCTTGCTCTCTTGCTTTGCACAAAAAGAAACAGGAAAACGGCGACGAGAAGGACAGCAGTCAGATAGAGAGGGGACACAGCCTGCTGAGTCAGCGGCGTTGAAAGCGCCATGGCGATGGTGACGGTCGTCGTTCAAACAAGACGTCGCCGAGGGGGACGGAAGCAAGTAAGAGATGCTAAGGCTTTGAGCCAAGGTTTAACTTAACGGGCTGGCTGGCGGTGAACGGGCGACTCGACTCGTTTGGCATGCTTCCCATTGCCCAAGCCACTGGGGAACCTATTTATGCTTACCCGAGGACAGAGTCAGCAGGAGCCTTGCCGTCTCCTCGCTCAGAACCAACTGCCGACTTGCCCCCAGAGGCGGGGAGAGACTCTGGGGAAGTTGAGCGAAGTTCCCCCGCAGTGTTTGAAGCTCCGCCTCACCCAGCCGAGCAGCCTATCATTTCAGTGCCGAGAATGCTCTTAACGGCTAGGTCGGCTGCTAGCCCGTCCAGGCTTACCCGAAACGGCAGGGATCATATGGTCTTGTGTTTCGAGGCGTGTTGGGCGTATTGGGCAACCACCGAGGCCGCCTGTGATCTCCTCTGGAACTCGCTGCATGTGTCTATATCACTCGGAGAGTATGCCACAAGGCCCTCTGCGGAGATTCTCCGTCGTGTAGAAGCACGAATCATCAAGCTGGCCGATGCCTGTCGAACAACTGCCGACACACAGTCTTCGGCACGGTACCGACACGTGGTAGCCTGGTCGTTCTGAATCATATCAGCTCCTGAGGTTCCATTCCCAGCTTCTACAGCCAGGTTCTACCAGTCTCATCCATCTTCTTCAGTGCGTGTTACTCTCTCTACATAGCAAGCTGCAATCATGAGCGGAGCGATGCAGACCGGACACAACGAGCAGGTGGCTCCTGTTCAGGTTGTAGACAAGCCGTTGGGCGAACACCATGAAACGACAGTCGAGTATGTCAAAGAGGTCAACGACACCATTGCCAGAACTGATTCTCACCTCGACGACACTCATGTCGCGCTCGGTTGGAGATCATGGCTGGTGGTGCTCGTCACCATGTTTGGGTAAGGCTTCAGGAGCGTCATGTTAGATCTTCTTGTTGACCACGAGCAGCAATTTGACCCTGGTCTTCGTAGTCGTTGCAGCTGGCTCGGTTATCGCCTTCATCATTCGAGACTTGGGCCACCCCGGACTTGCCGGCTGGATCATTCAGGTAGCCATTTTCTTTCCAGATGCACCTCTAACCGCGCTGATAGCTGATACAGGGCCCGCTGCTGGTGCAAAGCGTTCTGTGTCCCATTATAGGGAGGCTGTCTGACGTGGTTGACCGCAAATATCTCGCATGTATCCAGCTCTCGGTCGCCTTCGTTGGGTCCGTCGTGTCTGCCACGGCACACTCAATGAACACTTTGATAGGAGGAGGGATTCTCATCGGAATGGGACTATCATCCCTCGGCATTATTGTCGCCATTCCAGCAGAGGTTCTTCCCTTGAAGTTCCGCGCTATAGCCAATGGCGCCAACTTCCTCGGTGGCGCGTTCGGAGGCCTGTAAGTGGTGCTCCCTGCTGATTGCCTTTCTGCTCATCTGCTGAGATAACGTGTGAAAAGCATCGGACAACTTGGAGCCGGTGCTGTGACAAACGTGGAGAAGGACGGCTGGCGAAACATTTTCTGGATGCAAGCTGCTTTCCACGGTGCCACGGTGCTCATGCTCCTGGCATTCTACTTCCCGCCCAGACGGTCTGACTACCCCAAGATGACTCTTGCCGAGGTCTTGTGGTCGCTAGATCCCATCGGTGCTGTCCTTTTTGTCGGCGGTGCCACCCTGACCATCCTGGCGCTGGATTGGACGGGGGGCTCGTACGCATGGCACGACGCCCATGTCATAGCCCCGCTGGTTGTTGGAATCATTCTCCTCATATTGTTTGGAATATACGGTAAGCTCCTATCAGTGACCTTGGAACTTGTCATTGATGGGGTGGCTAATATCGAAATAGAGTGGAAGGGACGGACCGATGGAATTGTTGCTCATGTGAGAATGCTTTACCTCGTCGTGACTGCAGTCCACAACGCTGATTCCACCTGCTTAGGTCATGTTCAAGAACGGCTACAATTTTCCTCTCGCGGTCTTTGCTTTTGCCGTCGAAGGGTAAGTTTTAGGACTCGTGTCTGTAGATATCAAGACATCAGTGGACTGACTTGACCCCAGCTGGATCTTCTTCAGCGCAGTCAACAGTGTGACTCCTCAAGTCATCCTCAATCTCGGATGGGAGACGTCGTCCTGGCGCATCTCCATCCGTCAGCTCGCCTATCAGCTCCCAACCATAGCCTTCTCCATTCCCATGGTGTAAGTTTTCCCCTCTCTGCCTTCATTCTTGGAGACCTCCTGTTTCTAATTGCACCATTAATATCACAGACTCTACTCGACCAAGTTCAAGGATCTCAAGAATCCCCTCATTTTCACATACACCGTCTTCCTCGTCGTCTGCATCTGCTATGCAACCATCAAGCCCACCGAAAACGGCGCTCAGTACGCCTTTGCCGTGCTCGCCGGGATAGGTCAGGCGGGGCCATTGACTTTGATCCTCGCGCTAGTCCAGTTCGCCGCGCCGCACGCCTTTATCGCCACCGCTTCGGGGTTCGCCTTGTCCGCTCGCGCCATTGGCGGCGCCTTTGGCTCGGCTGTCCTTGATGCCATCATCAACGGCAAGATCGATGCCACCCTTGCACGTGATGTCAGCAAGGCTGCCACCGGGGCGGGCTTACCAGCCAGCTCGGTGCCGGACCTGCTGAAGGCTATCGAGGCAGGGGAGGGATTCGACGCGGTGCGCGGCCTCAACGGCACGATCTTGGACCAAGCCCTCAACGCGCGGGACTGGGCTTACGCACGCGCGTACCGGCTGGCGTGGGCGAGCATCATCCCCTTTGTGGCCCTGGCCATTGTCGCAGTCATCTTCATCAAGCATGTCAAGGAGCTCATGACCGAGCACGTCGAGGCCAGTGTGGAGCGGAAAGCTACCGGAGCACGGGCAGATGAGGAGATGAACGAGAAGTGAGATGGCTGCTACTGCTGTTCAATCATGTTCTTGAGTAACAGACCTTGTTGCGTGCCGTCATCGGAGAACAATGATGTTGTCGTTAACGATGAGGTGGACATACCTCGTTGCGGGACTAGGCTCTCGTCTCGTCTTTATTTAGACATCTCTTACCTGCCAAGTTTCAGGAGGTTGCAGCCTTGCCAAGGTTCGGACATGGGAATGAGACAAACGACGACGACGATCACAGTAACAGCTCTAGTCACGGAATGGGGCCCGAGCTTCCAGCAGTAATATATATCAGTGTGTAGTGACGATATCTCGACTAGCCAGCAAGGGAAGGGCATTTTGGCATATTTCTCCTCCTTATTGCCAGGGATGCGCACCCGAACGCTGTGCTTCAACCTATCTTTGTCGCGTCACGTGCGGGATGCCTCGACATCATCTACAGTGGCGCTGTTCACACAGGCAGAGGAGGATCTAACCGTCACACAGAAGATCCTCCGATCGTTCCGCAAAAGCATCAGGCGAGAAATCGGACGGCCGCTCGCTGTTAACGGGTTGATCGTCATGGCATAAAAGCTCAGAACACAGTTCTCCTGGATCGAAACACAAATTAAACACAAATATAGTCCATTTTGGTCTTAGGTCCGAGTACAGGCTGACAGACTAAAGATACAATATGCCATATAGCCAAGAAATGGAGACGGGGGTATCATATCCCGGGGTATTCATCCCAAGAAGATGCATCACAGCTCTCGCCCACCGCTGAACGCAGAGCAAGTGTTGTGCTCGTTTGGCCGGTTATACGTTGCAGACATGGGAACTTACAGATGCTACCCATGCCATGCAAACATTTCCGTCACCCGACGATTCCAACGTCACGCAGACAGTGTACACTGTCGCACTCGTTCATCTCCAAGCTTTTCACCTATCCAAGTCCGGGCGGATTCCAACCAAAACCAAGAAGCCTATCATCGAGATTATCATCAATTCATATCATCATCGCTTCTGGGGTTTCCGTCATTGTCATCTTCCAGCTTCAAGCTGTGAAGGGGTAGGCTGGGCTTCCGGAGCCGCGGGTTGTGTCTGTACTTGCCGACTTCGACCTGGCATCCTCAAACCGAGTCTTGATCTCCATGACGACTGGGTCTCGGTTCCTTCGTGACTGGGGGTGGTATTTGAGCTCGGTAATCGTTCTCTTTGTCGCCGTCGACCTTGTTCCCGATCTGACTGATCTGCCCGTTCTGCACGCACCACAAGGGGAAATCCATGCCGGTCACGATCATGATACACAATACTCATGAATCTGCCCGGTATGATCATGGCTGGTCTTCGGCCCGGTCGACCATTTCCGATAATTGAAAAGGCCGTTGGAGGGGGCTGCACATTTGTTGGATCCACTTCGGCACCTTCGGGTCGAGGTTTGGGGACGTAATAATCCGCCTTGCAGAGAGGACAACAGGCACGACGAGATGTCAACCAAGGATCAACGCACGAGGCATGGAAAGCGTGACCACAATGTAGCCCACGGATGTCATCGTCGTCGTCAATGTTGTCGATACAAATGGCACAGGCGTCGCCAGGATCAGGTAATTGCTCGGCAGGAAGGGCTGTTTGAATGCGTTCTTCGTCATCATCATCGTCATCGTGACTGGTGACTTTGTGCACCGGCGTCTCCGGTGACACTGTAGATGGAGTAGATTTGGGCCGAGATGGTGTGGCGGGTCGATTGTCCACATCACTCTTTTCAGCTTCCACCACCTCTGGTTCGCCATGCTCAGGAGGCTTCTCTTCAGCCGTAGAGTTTGTTTGTGCATGCGCCAACTCTTGAGCTTCGATTTCCTTCGAGTCCTTGGAATCTCGTTGAGTATTGTGTATGCTAGCCGGTCGAGAGGCAGTAGTTATCCCTCCAGCGGTGGGCAAACCTTCGTCGGCACGATTGGAACGCCATGTCTTGTATTTTGTCAATGGGAATTTTTCGTTGACTTCTTCAATGGTCATCAGCTTCTTCTCGCGCCGGCGGCGGTGTTGTCGAGGCATAGCTGCTAGATCTACCCCGTCTGGGTCTTCGCCATTCATGCGCTGTCGGTTACGTTGATTATATCTGAAGCAGTATTTGACACCGACAATGATCCTGGCAGACAAACAACAAGATTAGAGGGTACAGGATCCCTGACGGCGGGTGAGGCTCACCATAAATTGGTAAAGACGACGCCGAAACCCAGAGCCACAAAAAAGAGCAGTGGTGAACTGGGACCAGAGCCTCCATTATTACCAGGGTTCCCCGTTGCGCTCGAAGTGGGCGAAGTTGTGGTAGATGATATCGAAGTGGCCATCTTAGATGAGATATGACGGCCAAGGCACAGTAGGCGACGGCCGAGAGGTAGTCAGCGTGCAGATTGTGGGTGCGGAATTGGGTGCTGATGGGAGCATCTAAGCTGTGCCGGCGAATACGGATACAGGAGAGAAGAAGCGATTATTGCTCGAGTCGGCCGCTGATGGATAGAGACATGAGAAGGAGAGGTAACAGGGTGAAAAGGATGGTGAGGAATGAGTGGCGATCGAGAGTACCTCGAAATGGAGATGGTAATCGAGGAGGGACGGAACGTTCAATCGAAGCAAGGGTGAGATTAGAGGTGGTCCTCTGGCCTGCAGTATGGGCCTGGAACCTCTCTCAGACGAGGCGGACCGAGTGACAAAGGCGTGAGGTGATGGGGAGGGTGTGTTTCAAGGGGAAGAGGCAACGTTTGCTCCAGCGAGCGGATTGGCCCAGAAGATGAATACGCAGTCTTCAATAGGGTGGTTTCGGCCGAGGTGAGAGAAAGGAGGACGTGATGCAGCTGCTTCAAAATGATAAAAAGTCGCGGTGGACGAGATGGTTGACAAGGTACGAGAAAGCGAGGTAGGCGTGAGGGATATAATCCTGTAGAAGAAGGTGAGAGTGGAGGTGGAGGTGAAGGTCAAGGGTGAAAGATGGGCGCAGTTGAAAGCTGTGCGCAGTTCCTTCACGAGACCAAGTCAAACCAAGGCCGAGTCCCAGGTCCGAGGAGAGAAAGAAAAGCAATAATAATTAATTCAAGGGCTGGTGATCACTGATCGGTTTGCAATGGGCGGGAGGCCACAGCTCTTGCACCTGCTGGAATCCGGTTTAGTTAAAGGAGCTACTCGCAGCCTACTTTGTTAGGTGCCTTGGTGGCCGGTTACGCCTACAAGTAGGTACCTAGCTCGCTCTGTAGTCTGTCCCGACCCAGGGCGCGGGAAGGCCGGATCACTGGACGAGACATGCATTCATTCCCATCAACCTTTTTCACCTCCGCCAAAGCGATGTGTTGGAACCAGTAACACATCCATCAGCCATCAGCCATCACCATCGTCTTCGTGTCCTCCTCTTCCCCGCAAACATTGAGACTCACCTTGTGTCCGTTCTGCCCATTACCTTCATACCACCTGCGACGGCCCTCGCGCCCTCGACGCCACCTGCAATGCGGCACGGACTTCTCCTCGACACCGAGGCAAACGCCATCCTGCATCTCACGAATCACCATTGCCGCCTGAGCCCCGGCTGGCGATGGCTGCGCACTTGGCCTGCTTTGGTGCGAGCTTGTGTCTGTCGCTTGTTCCCCGGTCTCTCCCCTCTAGTGCCCAGTGATGTTATTACCTAGTACCTTGACTGGATTCGTCTAGGATCACTTGACCCTGCAACAATTTGGATCTTGTTTCAAGTGGACGCGGGGTTTGCAACGCGGTGCACGTCGATCATCGATGCGATATCCTCGTACAAACGGAGCATTCAAAACGACATGCTGAGAGTTCGCGGGTAACAAGCAATGGCTGTTGCGCTCTTCCGGCAGCCAATGGTAAAGGTCAAGAGGGTGTAATCACCACAGCCCCTGCACATGTTGCGACACACCTCCCCAGCCACCGCGCCAGATCCGTCGAGCCCGTGTGTAATACGAGCCACTGGCACCACCTCCTCCTTGTCCCCAATGGAAATGCCCCGATGACTGGTCTAGACGCCGTTCTTTCTTGTGTCGCAACCTCAACCAGCGCTTGCACCTGTTCTGATCACATAGGTTCGAGTGTGAGGGTACGGAGTGCCCAGCTTCACCATATCCTCCCGCCTTCCGCGATTGAGCTCTCCCTCCAAGGCATTCGTCTCTTCTTCCCTTTCATTCAACCCATGGAGAAGCACGCAGATCAAGCATTCACGCAGAAGCTCGCAACAAATCGTAAGCCACTGGTGTTAAAGCTTCCCTACTCGGTTGGGCCAAGCCAAATCCATTGGTGGGGGAAGAGATGGATTGCACGAACGACTTCATGCTCGAGGGGGCTTTTGCGTACTTCATATGCCTAGTCAAGACGCGTCACCGAGGCCAAGATTTCGGAGATGCCAGGCGGAGAGGTATGTACCGTAACAGAAAGTCAGTCTTTGAACCCCTGTGAATATATACTGGTCAAGACTGGTCTGGTTCGCCGCTTACCGCCCGAGCTCGGATCACAAGATATACGTCGTTTCCCTCGACGCCGCCGGGAGACACAGGGCGCCGATATTGATTTATGTGTAAACGATCACGTAAAATTTGCTGGAAGGTCACGGCTGGGTCGATGGAGAGCCGCTTGCCTTTGGAGGTAGCCATGATCTTGCTTGCGTTAGAGTCCATTGAAAATGCGAACTACAGCCATCTTCCTGCGCTTGTACTGATGCGCGATGAATAGAACAACATTTGATTTGATGCCACCGGTACCAATCCCAGTTTTATCAGACGGCAGTGACGAACCCACCAACACCGGCTCCATTGTGCAAGGAAACGGGCAAGGAAATCCTGGAGAGGACCGAAAGGCCAATCAAGTAAACAACAGAAGAAGAGAATGAAGACGAGAGCAGACTGTTGTGAAAATATCTCACTTGTAAGAAGTCGTCAATCCAGTTGCCCCTTGATGGCCCCAATCCAAGTGCACCTCTTCCCTGAGATCCATCGATGGGGGTGTTGGATATATTCTGATATGCAATCGCTGGATCGAGAGCCTTGGACAGTGCTGCACCAAGGCTCCCTGCAATATCCCTTGGCGTAAATGGGATTCCCCTCTGAGCTCCCCATCTCGCCTTCGCACTCAGTGACATGCTTTTCGATGCTTCACCTGAGTATGACTGACCTCCTTCCAGTTTCCGTCAGCTATAATTGGATTGTAGCATACTGAAACGTTTCATAGAGTAAGGTGGAGACAGCGAGGGTGAAAGTAAAGGGAGGAACAGATCTTTCTGGGTCGTCCAGACCGAAACAGAGAAGCCTGTCACTATCTTGTGAAATAAGGAAGCAACATCGCATAGAACTGGAAGGAGAATGAGCGAAATAAAGGGAAGCAAGGAAAGTCTTAGCACAGCTTCGTAGCTTTCACTTAGCTGACATTCCCTTACCTGAGTCATCTGAATTGGGCTGCTTCTTCTGCATTGTTCGTCGTTACTGTTGGTTGAGTGCCGGTATTGAAGCAAGGATAGCGCAGACAAGCCTGGAAACATGGGCGGCGATGCCAGCTGAGAAAGATGCAATGAAAAGGAAACCCACAGATGCAAATGACGAGCCGGGCTGAGGACATTTGAATCCAGACATTGGTATACAATGCATAGCCGATTAAGCCAGTCATTTCTAATCGTCCTCACCAAGAGTATCGAGGCCACCGTCGACTGAGCTCAACCTGACGCAGTTCCGCGCATTGTCCCCCCAGTTCTGCACAAGAGTCCGTCACTGCAAAGCACATCACCATTCCGTGCCACCTTCACTCGTGGTTTCAAAATGCATATGCGTTCGAAATGCTGGATCGTCGCGAAGAAGGATCGTCACTCTGTCCCTTTCTCGTCCCACGATCGGATCCCCTGTGCCATTAAAGGGCATGGATGGGACATGAATCCTCTTCCATCTCCCTCGCAGCGTGGAAATTTTGCAAAAGCGACAGAATTGCTCCGGGTCACGAGCACATACTGCCATAATTCCTCCTCCTCAGGACCCTGTTCAATCAATCCTCATCCTCGTCTCCGCCCAACCCAGCATTCTTCCTCATCATAGCGACGTCATCCTCCAGATCCTGAATCTTTCTCGCCAATTTCTTCTTCAAGATCGCATTCGTTGTCTTCTTGAGCAACTCTCTCTGCTCCGCAATCTTGTTTTGCATATCCTCAATTCTCTCCAGAACTTGTCGTTTATTCTCATCGCCCTCCTTGTCAGCATCGTCGCGGTCTTCGTCCTCATCACCGGCATCTTCGTCTTCGTCCTCGTCTGAAGATGCTTCTGCAGGTTCTGCTGAGACAGGTGTCTGTGCAGCGGTCATCGAAGGGGACGCTGATGTGCTAGTTACTGCGAAAGACGAGTCACCACCCGCTTCAGGAGGATGTAAGGTGTTTCGAGCCTGAACGGTTGGCTCTGCGGAAGGTCCGGCATCCTCGTCAAAGAACATGCGTTCGAGCTCATCCAAATCCTCTTGCCCGACTTCCTCCTGCACAGGTGTTTCGGTGAGCATTGGCGTTTCTGCGATGGAACCGTGCACACCAGGCTGTAGATCGAAATAGTCCTCTGGCTCACCCTCCGCATCTTCGTCTTCTTCCAATTCCGTGCTGTAACCATGTTCGTCAAGGCGCGGGTCATGATCCAGAAGTTGATACTTTGAGCTCAAGGCCGCCTTGTCCGCTTCAAGGAGAGCATGGACCCTTCGTTCAACCGCTTCAATGTCATCCACACGTGCTCGTTTTGTTCTTGCAAATCGTCTCTTCCGTACCCATTTCATGGGGGCCGTAAGCCCATGAGCATATTGATAGGTTTTGGGATCAACATCTTCGGGGAGGGGATAATTCCTGGCTTCCTCCTCGTTATTGCAACGGCCAAGCACTAACAGCATCTGACAGATGTCTATACTCTTGATCCACCCTTTCTTGTCCCAGGATTTCATTCCTTCAATAATGCACGGGAGATCTACCAGCGTGGTAGCGTACTTGTGATCCTTGATCTGCAAAATGCCTCTCCTGCCTAGAGTATCGAGCATCCTTAGATTGACGTGAGCGCCTCTTGCTAGCACCTGGCCTGCTGTCCCATCCTCGATCACTTTCCGTAGATAATCGCAATCGTCTCCGGGTTGCATTCGTAGCACAAAGCCTTCATGTATGACCGGGTCGACTTCGCGACCGACAAGCGTCTCGCCCTTGTCGTTCTGGTATTCGCTCTCGAGTTCTGAGTCGTAGCCCACACCCAACGCTCGCTTGGGAATTTTACCTTTGATTTTGAATGCCAAGTGTGCTGTTCCTGTAGGCTTGGGCGCGGATGATGGAGTGGGCAGGGACGATTTTTTGAATGTCAGTTTTCGAAAGGCGGTAGGCTTGGGCGGAGCTGGTGCTGGTCGATTTCTCCCATCGTCTTCCTCGCCTGCCTGTGAGTCGCGTTTGCGTTTTTTTGAAGATGAACCTGGAGTCCCGGTGGCAGTATCCGTGTCCTTCTTCTTCTTCTTTGCCTTTGGGGCATCTTCAGGGCCCGCCCGGGGAGTGCTTGTGCCTGGAAGTTTGAGCTTGATGGATGGAGTCCTTACTGCACTCTGAGGTGCTGGGCTCTGCGCCGGTGCAGGTTGAACTCCTCCGGCTTGAGATGTTGCAGGTTTGCTGGGGAACTTGAGTTTTAGGGACGGGCGCTTTGCCTTGTCAGGGGGTGGAAGGGGGGCGTCAGACACCTCCATGGTGCTGGTGCTAGTGTCGTCGTCGTTCTCGTCAGTTACAGAGCTTCTGATGTAGGAAGGCGAAGGAGGGTCGTTCTCCTCGTTGGAATTGCAGGAGACAAGAGAGTCGTCGAAAATGTGCTGGACTTCAGGCTCTAGCCGGACGGTGACAGACTTGTGTCTGCCTTTGGCGTCGGATGCTCTGGGTTGGCACTTTCTGACGCCAGACGATGGATCAGGTTTGAGGATAGATTTGGCTTGCGGTTCTCGACGATGAGCTGGACTGTGCAACCGACTTCTGGGCATTGCCAGGGGCCTTTTGGGCGCCACCGCGGCTTTGCTTGGGTTGCTTGTGCCATGCTTTGGCGGTCGCACTAGCCTCCGTTGCCCGTCATTGGGTGCTGGCTCGCTAGGCGCCCGTGATGGCCTGAGTGTGGCGATCCGGGCATCGGCCGCTGCTGGGGCTGGTGATGGTGGTGCTGCCGCATGCTGAGGGCTGCCGTTATTGGCGACGCCCGGTGTCTCGGTGGGTGCGCCTGGGCCTGCTGGGCCTGTTGGTGGTGCCGCATCATTGGCGGCTGCCCCGGAACGTGGCACGTCATTTGATTCTAATATCAAATTCTCTTCCACACTTAGATTCGTCGTCTCTTTTTTCTTGATGAACGGACCGGTGTATTGAATCGCATTGCTGAGTGTGACCGGCCATTGAAGCAGCAACTCAGGCCTAAGCCCAAGTCGCACATAGGAGGCCGATGGTAACTCAGGGAGCCGATAGTGCTCTAGCTTTCTGCGCTTCACCCACTTGACCAGCGGGTTTGGAACTGGATTTGGATACGCACGAAGAGCTGGATCCACGACTGGCGCTGGATTGGCACTCCCTCGCGATGACCTAGCCATTCTGACTATTTTCGGTCGTGGAAACTGATTCAGCCTCCAAGAATTTCGTTCTATGTTTTGAGCAGAACGCGTCAAACCAGGCTGTCACAATGACTTCAGCCGACCTTCACACCGCGCTCTTACGCCCGGCGGTTCTTCAAATCCTTCGCGCTGCTGGCTTCAGCTCTGCGCGACCTGTTGTAATCGACACTGTCACCGATCTCGCAGCTCGCTATCTTCTCTTGTTGGCGTCTTCAACCGCTCAGAATGCCTTCAATATGCACAACACTTTCGTACCGACTGTTCAGGATGTGAGGCTTGCGCTGACCCAGGCCGGAGCGCTGGCGCCCCAGATGAGCACCGTGGAGGAGAGTTTGAAAGGCAATGTGGAGCTCGTGGAAGGGGTATCGGTCCCGTTCGAAGATTTACGAGGAGTCGAGGCGTTTGTGAACTGGGCGTACGGGCCAGTCAATAAGGAGATCAGGAGAATCGCAGGCTTCGGTGATGATGTGAATGTGGAGGAGATTGCGGCAGGATTGGACGAGCAGGAAGATTATCTATCTGGTAAGTTCAAATCTCAACCTCAGCCTGGGTGATGTTTGGGGTTTTTTTGCCAGTTTGTCTGCCAGATCCGGGAAGTTAAGTGGTAGTGACAGAAATGTGAACTGACTATGTTGGCTCCGAGCAGTATTGAAAAAGCGCCACAGCAAAACCGGCGAAGAAGTTCGCTACCAAGGTACTGTTCTCGGCAAGGATACAGAATTACAACCCGTGTCAATCGTCGGCGGCCCTGCGGCTTCTATTGCAGAATGGGCGCGTCAGTCCTCGGCCAACACGCGCACTTCTTCCAGCCTGCGGGCTGGGCAAGAAGAGAGTGCAACCCCAGCGACATCCGGCATTAGCAGTGCACCACTCACTCCTATTGAGTCTGAATGAAAGAGAACAACGCATTACCCCATTCCAAAACAAACCCTTTGGGTGCGGCAGAGCACCGGAATTTCCGGGCTGCGCTTTCAACCCTTGCTGGGACCGGGTGAGGCCAAAACTTCGATGCGCACTTCACTGTTCAGGTGGGAACGTTCTTGAATAGAGTCCAACCTCGAAGTATGCCACTGGGAACAATACTAGGCCCACGGTACGGCCTACACGCCCAATTTGGGGCTGACCTCACGACGACGTGCTGAAGCCGCGGCCCTTTGTGCCTGGGCAGGGAAAAATAGACGTTGGACACAACCCATTCGCGGTGGCAGGTTTCAGTGCTGCCGCCCAAACAGAATCTCGACACCCACAGTCCGCAGTTGCAATGGGACCAAGGAGCCGATGGCATTAGAGCCCCAGAACTTAGTGCAGAATCTCCATCCGAGCTCCTGATACCAGATACTTGAAGGCAGCAACCGAGAAAAGATGAAGACCAGACCAGTGCCGTTAATCAGCATTCTGCACCACTTGAGGGCGGACTTCAAATAGGTTCATATTCTGAACATCGGGATTAATTAGCTTCGCCAAAAAAAAAAAGGCTATCTGGTTTTGATATTACACTACGCTTCTCCACACCTGTCCTTCGAAAAGATTCCATACAATCTAAATGGCAGCCAACTGATAACAGTCCTCGCAGCGCTCTCTCCTCGACCAAGTGTGTGGCCACAACATTATTCCAGACCTCGTCCATATTCTTGATGTATATCTGACGCCGAACATAATCAGTTCCCCTCCATCCTCACCCAGCCAGCCATCCTCCTGGGAGGAATGACAACATGACGTCCCACTGGCGACGAGAGACTCATAGCCACATTGTTGCTAGGCTCAGACGCAGGTAGTGCCAGGCCAAAATGCGTTGAGAACGTCGTCAAAACACTTCCGTCGCCGAGCGTGGTCATTGCAAACCAGTCGCCTGTTGTGGGGGTTATGGAGCCATTTGTCGGTTGGCTGGCTGATGAAGGGGTGTCTGTAAGCACGCCCGGGAGCGAACTAAGGGCGGTAATTGTAGAATTATGCACTGTATTGTATGCTCCTGTCGAGGGAGTAGTTGAGGTCTCTACAGGCTGGTTACCATTGTTATCCTTGGTGATAGTTGCATTGGAAGAGTTGGGTGTGGTTGGTTGAGACATACTCTCTAAGCCCGTGCTTGACGTTAAGGTGATGTTCGCGGTGTTGGGATTATTACTATAGCTTGAAGCCGAGGGCATGGTCCAATTCCAGTCATGCCAAAGATATGAAGGCGTCAGGGAACATGGCGCGCTGCTTGTGGCATTGGTCCAGTACGGCAACGAGGTTATACTTGCAGATAGAATACCCGAGTTGCTGCTTAGAGCCGATGTTGTAGTGGCGTTACCTAGTCCTGTTGCCGTTGAATTGCCAGGTGATATCTCTGTGCTAGATGTCGTTGCATTGGTTATTGGCGAGGAGATCGACTCAACGGAAGACGCCCCGGATGAGCTACCAGCTGATGGTGTCGGGATTGAGGATGTAAATGGCTCGGAGGCAGGACCGGGGACTCCTTGCGATTCCGAACTACTTGTCGATGCTGAATTTGAAATGGCTGAGACGAGAGACGAATTGGAGGGAGATATCGTCGAAGCCAATGGTTGACTCGAAATAATGCTCGTCATATTACTCCCTACCACAATGGTAATGGTTATAGGGCCGGAATCAGATCGCCAAGGTGAACCACTCTCAGGATCTGTGCCACTCGGCGATGCTGTTCCTTGGCCAGAGTGGTTGAAAGAAATGTGAATACTCTTTCCGGGAACAGTGGCTGTCAGTGTAATTTCCTCGGGCGGTGGAGTCACTGGAGAAGGCGTAATTGGGGACGGAGTGGCCTTCATTGTGATAGTGATCACTGTGTCATCGCTTTCTAGCGAGGTGTCCGTCTCGGCTGGAGAGGTGTATCCTGAAGCTGGAGATGAGACGTTTGTCCATAATGGACCCCCCGTAGGCCTTCCTGTAGCCCATGCTGGCCTCGTGCCATGTTGCGGAACGCAACTTGAGCCCGAAAGATAGGAACAAGAAAGACCGTAGGGAGGGAGGGACCAGATTGTCGTAGTCGACTGAAGCGTTGTGAATGTTACTGGGAAGCTATTGGAGGAGCCTGGCACTGTTGTTCCATTTGTGGTAGAGATACTTGATTCAGAGGAAGGAGTCGGAAAATTGTTCTCGCCAGAAGCGATCGTCATATTACTGACCAAGGAAGTGGTTGGTGTAGGTGCGGTATTACTAGCAGAAGATGTCGTGCTACCGAACGACCAGCTTGTTGAAGAGCTTGCAGTCCCGCCGACGGTTGGACTTATTGTCTCATTTGATAGAGACGAGGTTGTAACAATGGTGTTCTGCTCTGGACTGATACTGAGGGTCTGAGAACTGTTGTCGCTGGCAGAAACTACACTTGGTCCCATTCCCATGCCAGAGGAAGAGCACTGAAGGCCGCCAAATTCGCTCCCGCAAGGCCGATGAGATGGATAGCTTGTAGGTTGAGGTTGTCCTGTTCCAGAGTGTTCAGTTCCCCAGGATGACGGCGCATTTGTGTCGTTCCCATAATACCAAGGGTGGGTTTCGTTGTCGCAACGACGGAGTCGGTTATGTATAACTTACTTGGCTGTTAGCGATAGGATTGTGGGAGTTCTGATGGTAAGGAAAACAAACCCAGATGATGTTCTGCAGATGTCAGCACAAGGCCAGCGAGGCTGATAAAAAGAGTGACTAGAACGCTCCTCATTGCGTACAATAACCGCGATAATCCAGACCTGAAGGTGCCTTCAGAAAAAGCACGAGGTGCTTTCAGAAGACCACTTTATATTGCATGCAGGATCAAGCTCCCGAAATCTTGTTCAACACGATGCGCAGAGGTCACTCTCTGCATTGGATCCCCATCATACGCACCTTTGTGGAGGCTCATATGATGAAAGACACGGGCCACAGTCATCCCTAATCTCGCCTGGAGTTCTTGTCCGCCAGTGGAGCGAATACATTTCCAAAATAAAAAATCCATTCTTTGTTTCTGTCATATTCAAGCTGGCGACGTGCTTCACACCCGAGCTGAACAAGGGAAATAGGACTCGCTTTCAAGCGGCACAACCGTAGCGGAAGCGGCTGCATTATACCGCCAGAAGCTTCTGGTTATGTCAATTGAAAATTCTCGAGGAACGCATTCGAGCGACGAATTCTGCCCGTGGCATCAGACTTCATTCCGGATCGACATCCAAGGGCCTTGATGTGAGCGTCGACGCACAGAGTTGAGTATCGAAATACATCACCTCTGGAGATACTTGTCTTTGATATCGGAGAAATGCATGTGGTTGCGGATAACTTGCAGCGGTTCCTGGCATCAGCAGGATGTCGTGCCCGTCTCCCTCAGGCTGATGTAGCACGACCTCATTATAGAGATGAAGAGAAACATCTTAGCAACGGCCGACCTTGGGCCTGTTAGCACTTTATGTCCCGAATTCTGACATATCGAGAGTTGTTTAAGACGCACCTGCGAAGGATTCTTAATGGCGTAGAACAGTACCACCCACGGCGGCGCGCTTTTGCTGCAGGCACGCGGCCCATGCGGCTATCCATCTTTGAGATTGACATATCATGAGTCCAACGGTACGACTTTCCTTGGTCTGGGATGTTTTGCCGCACACATGATAAATCGCGACGGAACGGCAGGTGATTAATTTCAGTATCGGCTTAGACATGGAGACAAGTTGGCGAAGAGCGCGTCATTGATGCCGCACCAAGGGGCTCACACAGAGAACGAGATGGCCTCCATGTTTTCAAGCCTGTCCAGAGCCAGCACTTCATCGCCGCTGTACTCAAAGCTCGCCTTCGCCACTGCCACGAGGCGTTCTGCAGATGTGCACAGACTCAGAGAGATAGTTAGCCGTCCTTCCCGCCATAGCCCGAGCGCCGTCTGTGGGTTGTGAGTGTTGACTGCCTGCTTGATGAAGTGTCCCTATCGACGAGCCTAGGAGATAGCCATCACATTTTCTTGCACAGAAGCCTGGGATGGAAGTATCAACAAAGCGTTAGGCTGCCAAAACATATCGCGCAGAGCACTCTCTGTTGTATCAGCGATGAGATCTGCCAGCGGCCTGTTCGAAGTGTGGTGACTGTCCGCCGTGGATTGTTTTGCACGCTCGTAACAGTGTAATGCAAAGGAGTAGCGCTTATTCTGAAGAAACCATTGCGCAAGCGCCATCGTCATGGGGGATTGATTCTGGACTTTGGGACGATCTGAAGGTTTATCCGTAAACTTGTTTGAGTAGACCCCAGCCATGACTTCAATCCTCAGCATTGCGTTGTTCGCTTGGGCCTCTAGCGCAGGATCTAGACGAGATCCTTGACCCAGATGACGGGATCCTTGCAGCCGCATAAGACACAGCTCGAGCTCTGCGAGTCTTGCAAGTGCCGAATTGGCTCCATACTGTTGCATCCATCGGTTTTGAATATCTGCAATCAACCTTTGACCTTCTTCGCTTCGACCTGTTCGCGAATAAAATTGGGATCGGCCCATCTGCTGGACTAATGTCTGGTACGCATCATTTCCAAAAGTTTTCGAAAGCGCATCGATGATGCATTTGAACACAAGCTCTGTGACATGAGTCTTCAAAGCGGCACTGAATTCGGACTTCAGCAGGATTGTGAGTGGGTGCTTGGTGCCCAAAATCGTGGATGCCAGGTCAGCTACGTGCGGCCTGATTTTTGCATGGAGATCCGAGGCATTGGCCATGTTGATCCCATAGGCAAGTTCAACAAGAGTGAACAACAGTTCTGGGTGAGGGTTCCGAAAGATCGGCGGAATGGCATCCAAGGTCTGCCTCAGAACTGCAAAGGCAGTGTCCATTTTCCCGAGCTCCAAGAGATCTGTGACCACGTAGAAAGCCTCCCTGAAGATTTCAACTTCGCCATTAAGGTCAAACACTGTCGGGTCACGCTGGACGAGTGAGGACCACGACGTAGTGTATTGGCCCATCATCCAATTGAAAGACTCGCTCAGAACGTGCTCAATCTTCAGATCATCACTGGGAGGCTTAACGGCCGTCGGTCCCCCTGCTCTCCATCGAAACATCAACGCGCTCTTGGGATCCCGCGTGTGCTTTTTCCGACGGGCTTGCAGCAGGTAAGGTCGGGTAAGAGGCGCGGCGTTTTGCGTTGGCGACAGCTCCTCCCCCGTCTCGTCTTCTCCAATCTGCTGTACCCTTCTTTGCGGTCGTATGGCCAGTGGTTGTCGGGCAGCCAAGTGATTCTGATAGCGAAAAACGTCGACCAATCGCTTTTGGCGTTGGATCCCCTCTGCGACATGGCGCCTGATGATATTTTGATTATGTCCGGAGGAGTCTTGGACATCGATAAAGACGAGGTTTGGCATGTTAGCATGACATCCAACGAGGTTATCGGGTGTCCTCCGCCTTCATCTCCTCGTGATAACGACTATCCAAATGATCCGGCTGGACCGGCGTTGCTTAGCAGCACATGTCAACGACAAACAACCCGCTGCGGCGCGTTGAGCGAGGAAACCACCATTTGGATTTCGGAGGAGGGATTCGTTAAGTTGCTCACTATCGCTTAAACCAGTTGACTGGATGAGACAACGGTGAACTAGCGATGGTAGTCCCGTGGTTGATGGAGGACCAGTGGAATGATGAGGAATTGGTTGCAAGATGATGGCAGGACTCGACATCTTGGCCCTCGTCTTGATCGCCGCCGAGAATGGGCTTGACTAGGATTTGCTAGCACGTAGCCCGAATACGAGGTCACGATATAGCCGCCGGAAAGCGGTGGTGGCATCTATCAAGCGCTTTATTCTGGGAAAATGGCACAAAGCAGAGCAACAGGTACAGAAAGACGAGCCTGTAGACATTGCATGAACGGCGAAGGAAGATGTTTGCGAGGAGAATTTCCTGCTGTCGTCGCCAATCTTTTCGTCGATCATTCCTGCGGGTTTGATCAGCCTGCAGCTCTAGTGTGGGTCAGTTTTGGTCAAGCCAGCGAGCTGAGAGGAGAAGTAGCATAAGGTGCAAAGAGAAGGGTGTTAAACGATGATCAACTAGCAAGTGGTCGGGATAGAGCGGCCTCCACGGAGTTCATGTAATTGAAAGACAGTGAGTAGGGAGAACAGTATCCTCTCACTTCGCACTGGAGAAACACGTTGTGTCAGACTGTGCCACGTTTGGTTATTCGGGTTGAAAACGCAAGACACGAAGACTTGGTATTGGAATGGCTTGTGAATGGATTGCAACTACATATTTTATGCATACAATGCCCAATGCCCAATGCCCATCTCCCCTGCCTGCGCGATATTTTCGATAAATCCGTATTCTCTTGTCCTCACAAAACTCCTCGGCGCCACCGGCTACCCTCGTGAACGTTCATTGAATCCCCGATTGAGCCTACCGTCTCACACCCGATACTCAAGTAAGCGGAATTGGCAATGGTCCCGCCAGTGTGGCCTTGGTTAGATCATCGACATTCGTCGCCGTGTTTTGGTTGGTCAACGCTGCGAATGCAATGCCAAACATTCCCGGCTGCACATCCGCGTGCAGTTCGTCACCATCCACCGTCACGGGAGTGTACGCGGGAACGTTGTTCTGGTTGACCCACGCCATATAGAGCTGACCTGAGTTCCAGCCTTGAGGTAGCATGGTGGGTTGGCCGACTTTGAAGATCAGTTTTCCGGGAGCATTGGGGGTTGCAAATGAGGGGCCGCCGTAGCCGACAATGCCCAGATCGGGGAAGACTGGCAGAGAGGTAATGGAATAGGGCAAGTTGGTGCATGAGCCTCCGACAATAAAGTCGAGAGCCAAGTTGTAGGCCCAAATGGCGCTGATTTTGGTCTCGAAGGTGGTAGGATTGGGGATCTCGTTCGCGGTGAGGCGGAAAAAGGCGTCATGTCGGGACTCCACGGGGATAATCGAGGCGACAGTAGCCTCGATACTCGGGTCAGTCGTAGAGAGACCATCTGAAAGAGAAATCAAAGCACCAATGCCGACGGTGGTGATGATATTGCCCAACGCCAGAAAGCTTTTCTCGTCCGTGGTGGGGAAATTGTATTCGCACGGAGCGACATCTTGGGCGCCGTTTGCTTGGAGCAAGCCCACAATGGAGGCGACATGGACTTCCTCTTGAGCAGCAATGCGCGAGACCACGGCCATATTGCTCACACCGTTCGTTTGTCCTCCGGTGCCCCATTGTGTATAGTTAATCAAACCCTCTTGAAAGAAAGCCGACTCCAGATTCTCCAGGAAGTTAGCCAACTGGAAATTGCCCAAGCCAGATTGAGAGACACGGGGAGAGCCAGGTTGGTTTGGCAGGCCACCACCTGCCAGCTGAGCGATATTAGAAGGCAAATTGGTGCCGGTCACAATTGGAACGGGTGTTGCAAGGACAGATCTGGCCAAGAAAGAAAGAGCGACAG